TCAGGCCACAAGGTTGACATAGCACATAAGTCCTTCCTTTGGAGGGTCCCTGCTGAACAGCTTCCCCTCTCCAATTAGAGGGACTTAGTTAAGTTAGAGAAAACCCTGTGTTTGAGCTCAAACAAGTTTAAACCTTGATTTTATAAAATCATTATAAATTATGGTTGAGATGTGTTGGAATTTTGTCTTTATTCCTTTCCTCTCTTCTAAACTTCCTTACTTCTGCCTCAATTCTAATCTTATTGATCATCAGGATCTACACTTTCACTGCTATGAAATATTCTCCACTATAGTCTGTCTCATCATCTTGATATTAAATCTGACCCCCTGACTTGTAGTCTTAGAACCCTGATCAAGGAGGGCTTATTTTGTCTCATTTATGTTTGCTTATCTTCTTGGTTGAAGATACTCCATTTCTGGTGTTTGATGTCATACCCTCTTGTTCTCTCTTGATTATTCCATTTGTTTATACACCACAGGTGCACTAATTTTTTCTCGGTATCCTTTCCAAATATTTCTTGGTAAGAAGTGGGGTTTGAGAATATTTCTGGTTGCAAAATGGTTTTGGGACCTCACCCCAAACATTTTTGGTTGTAATCCGGTTGTGGGCCGGCTTGAGAACCTTTTCCGTTCCAATGAACATTCTGCAAACCACTTCAAGTGGTTCCCACAATATTTTTCAGTGTGACTCGATCGTCTTTCCGTCCAAAGTAGTTCAAAAAACAAAATTTTCAAAACCGCCTCAAGCGGTTTCCAGAATATTTTTTTTGCTTTGGTGGTGTATTCATTTTCTCAACAACCACAGCTTGAACTCTTGTATCTAGTCTATTTAATCTAGCCCTAGTACAAGAGATTAAAAACCATTGGTTCTCCTCATAATCTGAGTTTGACAGCTTTTTTGGCCCTTCAAAAAGTGGCACCAGAGTCTGTTCAAAATCTTCTCTCATTCTTATAGCTTAGATTTCAAACAAGATGTACAACTTCTGAGTTTTTGCTTGAATCCTTGATCAATAGGATGATTTAGCTCTGCAAGAATCCTGTACCATCAATAGAATGATTTAGCTCTGCAATAATCCTGTACCAAACACCCTCAAAGTTTTGAAGGAATGATGTGATTCCATTATGAATCTTGCTTCCACCAAAAGACTACAAACTCGCCATGCAAGTTTGTCAACATTAGAGCAATTCAACCATGGCCCCTACTTCTGGGCTGTAAAGTCTTGATGATTGGGTCCACACAGCCAGTTTTACAGTCTCAAACTGCTGCAGCATACACCACGACTTGGAGGAGTGGTTTGTAAAAATTGATGACAGGTGTGCTGTGTGAGGGTTGGGTTTCACATGTTGGTGTTGTGTGAAATTGTCATTTGTAGGCCGTAGGTGAGTCCCTAGGTAAAGATGGCCCCATGGGACCCGGGTACCAACTGCTTTTTTTGGCCAAAACGGACACCGGGTACTGCACCCGCTCAAGTATGACGGGTACCGGCGGTACTCCTGGCGGGTACCTCCTGGCTACCGGAGATTCTTCCAGGCAACCTGGTTGAGACCAATCAGGTCGCCAAGGAGGGCCCTTGCCGGCGACCTGATTGGTCTTGATCAGGTTGCCGAGGAGGGGTCCTCTCCAGCAACCTGGACGAGATCAGTTAGTCTTGGTCAAGCCACCGAGGAGGGGGTTTGGGGGCGGGTACCCTTAAAGGTACCAGGGTACTGCCTGCTTTTTTGCCCAAAATCAGGCACCGAGTACCGCACCCGGCACCACTTGGCGGGTACTGGAGGAGTGAAGGTGGTACCCGCCAACGGGTCCCGGGTACCGCAAGGCCATCTTTATCCCTAGGAGTAGGTTTGATGGCGCCACCCCTAAGTGTGTGCCAATGTGCAGGCGCCTGGCACCCTTGCCCAAGGCGCGCACATTTTTCCAAAAAAAAATGGGGGTGTGCGCGCACTTCTAACCCTAATTTTTAGAGTGGTAGGGCTGGAAGCCAAGTGACTTTCCCAGTTTGAAAGGGCAACCCTGAAAGCTCCTTAAGCTAGTCTGGGAGTATGCCATTGCTTTGCTACTCTCTCTGACAGGCTGACAGCTGAGTTCTGATTCTGTAGCTTTTTTTGACACATATGAGTGCGGAAAGAAGTCTTGAAGCTTTTGGGTTGTATTGAGATTAGTACTGCCAATTCCAAGTCCAACTCCCATTAGTTCTCTTAAACCTTCAACTTCTTATACAATAATAATACCAGCATCTTTCTATATTTTTGCCATGCCACCCATCATCAATACAAGCAATTCAGAGCTGCAAGGATGGTCTAAGCCAACAAAATCTCATGGTCTACAATGGACTGTATTCTTAATGTCAAACATAACTTATGGGAGTCGGATGCTCAGAAATCCATCAATATGAGCAACAAAATCAAAATTGTCAACATTGAAAATGACCGCAAGGAAACCAACTGAGATCCACAAGATCTGTGACTTCTCAGTTGTTTCACTTGGTTGTATTTCCCTCTTCAATCTTAATTCACTTGTAAATATCCTGGCAACAATTGAAATACAACATAATACAACTCTTTTCATTAGAAAAAAACTCGCCTAGGCTCGCCGCTACTGCGCCTGCCAAAGGCACGCAATTGGTGGTAGGTTTGTACTTGTAGGCGCCCACTGGCCCACACATTTTCAAATGTGAGGACTTGCAAGGAGATTTTGCAGACTGCCGTAGATTATAGTGACTACAGACCCGGTGGGTCATGTCAAGTCTGTAATTTACACCTACAGCCCTGATTTATGGCCTGCGGTGGAGTTGCTCTTAGGTGCAAGTCTGCCTGGCCAACACTCCACTGCCAGATATGCGTGCTGCAGCATGACTTTTGTCAAGTTCATACACCACAGGTGCACTTGGGTGTCCCGGAGACATCACACAGAAAGATGTCCCAGGTGTGGTCAAATCCATTTAAAAAAAGAGATCTGCCACCATAACAGCCTCACAACAAGGCTCTTTTGATAAATTCTTGGGACATGGGACGGCCTTTGGACAATTTCATCCCAGGGTTGGATCTTAAATCCCTATTTGCACCCGAATTGTATTTAGGGCCTGTACTGGATGACTTCATGTCGCAATCTACGGCCCTCCCAGAAGCCAATTTACACCCATTAGATCTAGGGGCTTGGTTAATCGACTCCCAAAAGTTGGAGAGTCGACTCCCAAACCCCCAAAACCCCCAAAATTCCCCCGTATCCCCCGAGTTTTGGGAGTCGATTCCCCAAACCCGTCAGTGGGTTTGGGAGTCGAATCCTCAAAAATTTTAAATAAAAAAAAACAAAACCCCGGAGGGGGACGGAGTCGATGCCCCAAAACCCAGTGGGTTTTGGTGTTCAGCAAGCCAAAAAGAGCCCTTGATGGCCGGGATGATCCTCCCGGCCGTCGAGGATGTACATGTACACTTAAGACGGCAAGAGAAACCTCTCGGCCATCAAGGATGTACACCTCGACGGCCGAGAGACCGCTGCCGGCCATCAAGGATGTACA